AGCTCTGCTTCCATTTTGATTAACAATTCCCTCTTTAAATCACTTCTCTCCTCTTGAATTTTATTATAAACACTCAGATAAGGCAAGCTGCACATTAAAAAATAATTTGTGAAGAAATTTCCCCAGACAATTATCCAATTTCATTACTTACAAGTTCTACCTTCCACAAAATACTAGAACATAAACAGAATTCAGCCATGTTCTTTTCCACCTTGTGACAAGGATTGCCTTTTTCTAGTGTCAAATAACATGTTCCTCATTTCTGTCTGACACCTCATCAGAATGGTCTTTACATCCATATTTCTGCCAATATTCTGCTCATGGGCACTTTGCTATACTTTAAGGTTTTAGATTTTCTGTATAGCTCTCCTGTTCTTCTGAGTATTCATCAGAATAATCATTTAAGATTCAATCATGAATTTTTCTTTAGTACGTACCCCAAAACTTTTTCAACTTCTACACATTACTCAGTTCCAAAGAAAGCTGTTTCAACATTTTAAATATTTATTACATCACACCCCCACTTCTTACTACCAATTTTATGTCTTATACTTTTCAGTCTGTTCTAACAAAATACATAGTATGGATAGTTTATAAACAACAGAAGTTCATTTCTCATATTTTTAAAGCTGGGAAGTCCAAAACCAAGGTGACAGCAGATTTAGTGTCTGGTAAGGGTTTGGTTATTTATAGATGGTATCTTTTTTTGCTGTGTTGTCATATAGTAGAGAAGCGAGCTAGCTCTCTAGGTGCTATTTTAGACAAACATAAATCCCATTCATAAGGGCTCTAGCCTCACTATCTACTCAGCTACCAAGACCTCACCTATTAATATTATCACATTTTAGGTTAGGATTTTAATATATGAATTTTGAAAGGGCACAAGCAATCTATACAACCAATGTACACATTTTACTCTCAAAAAAAAAAAAACACAGTTATAGGCTCTTAGAAGAGACATTCAATGAAATTTAATTTTTCCAATAGGTCCCAGGAAGCTAGTTTAATTTAGATGTCCCATAGGTTCTTCAAAGAATGTCTACCTAAGTTATAAAACAATGAGTGAATCTCTGAAAGGTCTCTATTTTCCCAGGACCTTCATTTTTGTTAATTCAAAGACTTTGGGCTAACTCACAGCAACAACAACAATGATAAAAAAACACCTATTGGGTGTTTGGCAGGTGGGGGGGGCAGAGGATGGGTATATAAATACATAATGAATGTGATGCGCACCAACTGGGGGATGGACACACTTGAAGTTCTGACTCGAGGGTGGAGGGGGGGCAAAAGAAATATACATAATGTTAACATTTGTACCCATATAATATGCTGAAAAAATAAATTAATTAATTAAGAAACAAACTTCCATCAAATTTTTTATATTAAAGGCATATTTAAATTGATCCAATATTGAAGATACAAAAAGTGCCCTCTTGAGTACTTTTGTTAACCACAGATTGTTTAATGGACTAAGAACTTGCCTACCCGGTATGAGACTTATTCGAGTCTAAACCTACACCCCCAACAAAAACAGTCTTTCTCAATATTTAGCCTATAAAAGGTAGAAAATTAGTCTGAGCTCTCTTTTTTGTCCTGTCTAGTAAGTTATAATTAGTTCCACAATGACATTTCACAAATGCTAGAATGGCAGACAGAAAATGTCAATTAATGATTTTAAATCAATATCAGAAATAATAATAGAATCAACAACATTACCATAATTACACAAAACAGACAGCCCCTCCTTGGTAATACTACATGCTGAAGAAAAATCAACATCAAGTAACAAAAGCCTCAAGTGCAGCTGAACACCATTCTGGGGAAAACTGGTCTTATTACCATCGGTTTGGGTACTTTCATTGATTTTCAATCAGGAAGCCCTAACGCTCCAAGTTAGCTACTGTTTCACATGCACAGGAAATTCTGCAGCCAAAACTCCCCCAGCTTGCCTGTCACTAACCAAACCAACAACTGGGGCAAAGGGTTCATAGTAATTGGCTATTGGAGGACCTGCCTACAGTCTAATGCTGAATCTCTGTCTTAGTCAATTTTAGGGTTATAAAGGAATATCTGAGGCTAGGTAATTTATAAAGAAAAAAAATGTTTATTTCACTCATGATTTTGCAGGCTGTAAGAGAAGGATGGTGCTTCTGGTGAGGGCTTCAGTCTGCTTCTACTCATAGTGAAAGGAAAAGGAAGATGGCCTGTGCAGAAATAACACAGCAAGTGTAGAGGCAACAGAGGGTAGAGGAAAGTGCCAGGCTCTTTTTAACAACTAGCTCTTGGGAAAACTCTCCAGGAACTAATAGAACAAGGCCTTAATCATTACTGTGAGTATGGCACCAAGCCATGCAAGAGAGATCAGTCCATGTGACATAAACACCTCCTACTAAGCGCCTCCCCCCCAACATTGGTGATCAAATTTCAACATGAAATTCGGAAGAATTGAATATCTAGCCCATAGCTTTCTTCCCCTGACCCCCCAAACCTCATGTCCCTCTCACATTGCAAAATACAGTTATTCATTCCCAATAGTCCCCAAAAATCTTAATTTGTTCCAGCATCACCTCAAGTGTCCAATGTCCAAAGCTTCATCTGAGACTCAATGCAAGTTGTATCCAGTTATAAGCCTGTAAAATTAAAACTAGTTATTTACTTCCAAATTTCACTGCTTCTACTGACATAGGCTAGACATTCTCATTCCAAAAGGGAGAAATTGGCCAAAAGAAAAGGATGGCAGGCCCTGTGAAAGTTGAAAACCCCACAAGGCAGACATTAAACCTTAAAGTTACAAAATAGTCCCTGACTGCATATACTGCATACTGGGCACACTGGTGCAAGGGGTGCACTCCTGAAGCCTCAGGTAGCTCCACCCCTATGGCTTTGCTGGGAAAATCCCAGGTGGCTGCTCTCATATGTGTGCCATCATGGCTGCACAGTCTTTTTGGAGAATGGGTCATCTCTGAGTCAATTTTTATCAGACATTGTAAACCGATGATGCTTTGAAATCTGGCTTATAGTGAAGGAAAATATGCTTCCAGTGTGGAGTGTTCTGTTTGCATACAACATCCTTTTGACCTTCTGAGCTCTTACCCTCTTAGAAGCTCTGTGGCCCCAAAAGGGTCTTGGATAGCCTCCGTGGCCATTTGAGGGTCTTGGCATTTGGGGAGGTCTCTCCCATTCGTACGGAGACTAGGGGCCTGTCTGGAAGAATATTCTCAAAAATTTATTTGGAACTTTGTTTTGGAAGGCTAATTTTTAGTCCCATTTTCTTAAGTCTGATCTGTCCTGTCAGTTTGCATCTGGATCTGTGTGTGCAGTAATCATTTGCTTGACTGTGGTGCCCTCTTGTGTCCTCACACTTCCCCTATGTTTTATTCTCTAACTAGTCTTCTAGAGGGCAAAGGAAGGATCTCGCCAAAGCTCCTGGAAGCCTCAGGAGACTTTTCTAGGTATCCTCCTGCTTGCCCCTACCAGGATAGAGGAGACTTTCTTGAAAGATATGTACAGGTCCATGGGGTTTTTTGTTCACCGTCTTTATGTTTTTCTTTTCCTTTTTATTTCAGCATATTATGGGAATACAAATGTTAAGGTTATGCACATTGCCCTTGCCCCCTCTGCCCCCTCGAGTCAGAGTTTCAAGCATGACCTACCCCCAGATGGTACACATCTCACTCATTATGTATGTATATACCCATCCCCTCCTCCCCTCTCCCATCTGCTCAACACCTGATAAATGTTATTCCTGTATGTCCACTTAGGTGTTGATCAGTTAATACCAATTTTCTGGTGAGTACATGTGGTGCTTGTTTTTCCATTTTTGGGATACTTCACTTAGTAGAATGGGTTCCAGCTCTTTCCATGAAAATGCAAGAGGTGCTATACTACCATTGTTTCTTACAGCTGAATAGTACTCCATGGTATACATATACCACATTTTATTAATCCACTCATGTATTGATGGGTACCTGGGTTATTTACACATCTTTGCAATTGTGAATTTTGATGCTATAAACACATGAGTGCAGGTGTCTTTTTTGTAGAGTGTTATTGGATCTTTTGGGTAGATGCCCAGTAGTGGGATTGTTGGATCAAATAGTAGGTCTACTTGTATCGCTTTAAGGTATCTCCATATTTCTTTCCACAGAGGTTGAACTAGTTTGCAGTCACACCAGCTGTGTAGGAGTGTTCCTATCTCTCTGCATCCACACTAACATTTATTGTTTTGGGACTTTTTGATAAAGGCCATACTTACTGGAAATAAGGAATATCTCATTGCAGATTTGATTGGCATTTCCCTGATGATTAGAGATGTTGATCATTTTTTCATATGTTTGGTGGCCATTATTCTGTCTTCTTTTGAAAAGTTTCTGTTTATGTCCTTTGCCCACTTTTTAATAGCTATTCATTATAAAAAAAAAACTGTCAGAAAATTAGGAATAGAATGGAACTTCCACAACGTAATAAAGAACATCTATCCCAAACCTATAGGTAACATTACATTCCAAGAAAGAATGTATGTGTTCCCCCTTAGATAAGGAAAAGACAATGATGTATACTTTTCACCACTATTATTTAATTCTTCTGAAATTTCCAGAAATCCTGATAAGTAAAAAAAGAAAAGACATACATATGTTGAACCACTCATGCATCCTTGGAATGAAACCCACTTGAGCATTGTAGATTATTTTTTTTTTTTGATGTGCTGTTGAATTTGGTTTATAGTATTTTATTGAGGATCTCTGCATCTATACTCATAAGGGATACTGGTGTATAGTTTTATTTTTTTGTTGTTGTTATCTTCTTTCCTGGCTTTGGAATCAAGGCTTCATAGAATGAGTTGGGGATTCTCAATGTTATTGAATAATTTATGTGGTATAGGTACCAACTCTTCTTTGTTGGTATGGTAAAATTTGGCTGTGAATCCATCTGGCCCAGGGATTTTCTTTTCTTTTCTTTTCTTTTCTTTTCTTTTCTTTTCTTTTCTTTTCTTTTCTTTTTTTAGAAGACTTTTTTTTTATCACTGCTTTAGTCTGCAAATTAAAAACACAATGAGATATTAACTTACTGCAGTTGGAAGTGCCTTTATTAAAATATCCAGATCAATAGATAGTGGTGTGGATGCAGAGAAATGAAAGCTTATGCACTGTTGGTGGGATGGCAAATTAGTACAACCTCTATGGAAAACAGCATTTAGATTCCTCAAAAAAACTTAAAGTAGACCAACCATTTAATCCAGCAATCCCACTACTGAGTATTTACCCCAAAAGACACCTGCATTCAAATGTTTACTTAAGCATAATTCACAATTTCAAAGATGTGGCATCAACCCAAGTGCCCATCAATTCATGAGTGGATTAACAAAATGTAGTATATGCACACCATGGAATACTACTTAGCCATGAAGAAGCATTCATTAATGCCTTTTGCAACAATTTGGATGGAACTGGAGACAATTATACTAAGTGAAGTATCTAAAGAATGGAAAATTAAACACCTCATGTACTCACTGTTTTTTTTTAATTTCGGCATATCATGGGTGTACTCACTATTAAATTGGAACTAAGCAATGAACACACATGTGCATAGAGGGAAATAAAACTCAACATAAATAATGAAAGGGGGATGGGGAAGGAGGAGATGAGTAAAAAGGAACCTAACAGGTACAATGCACACTATCTGCTTGATGGGTGCACTTATAGCCCTGAATCAAGCATTGCAAAATCTATCCATGTAACCAAAAACATTTATACCCCCATAATGTTTTGAAATACAAAAAAAGAACTACCCAGTGGTTTTCCAAAGTGGTTGCCATTTTACAATCACACCAGCAATGTATTATAGTTACAGTTCCTCCATATCACCATCAATATTTGGCATTGTCAGTTTTTTAAATTACAGGTCTTCAAATTGGTATGCAGTCATATAAGATGAAACCAGTAGGGGAAATTGGGTAAAGAGTACTCTCTATGTACTTTCTTTGTAACTTCCTATGAATCTATAATTATTTTAAAAGTAAAAAGTTTTAAAAAGATATTGTTTAAAAAAAGACATATAGATTTTCAAGAAAAATATAAAATTGTCCATATTTGGAAATTACATGATGTCCTTCAACTAATATGTGATTTCAGCAATGTAAGGTTATAAAAGCAACATGCAAATATCAATAAATCAGATTAATAAATTAGAGGCATATGAATTGGAAAAGATCATGAAATATTATTTCTATCTGCAAGTTATGTGACAGTATATCTAGAAACTCTAACAATGAAAAGATAAAAATGAGTTCAAATAATAAATTCAGTAAGGTAACATTATATAAAGTTAACCAATATAAATCAATAGCCTTCACTCATAAATAACCAGTTAGAAAAATAACAACAGACAAAATCCCATCACAGTAGCAAAAATTTAGGAATTAGCTTAATTAAAAATGAACAAAACTATATGATGAAAACTATAACACCCTTATGAAAGATACAGAAGCAGAAAGGTACACATCTAATATGGAATAATATGAAAATACATATACACAAAATTACTTATTACAGCATGGTTTAAAATTTCAAAATATCAGACATAACCTAAATACTTTTCTATAGAATGGTTGAATAAGATACCTTATTGGTATCCTAATTGGTTGAATTAAGATACCTTATGTACCTGGTACATAATTGCTATGGATAGATTGTCTCCCAAAAATATGTTGAAGTCCTAACTCCCAGTATATGTAAATATCAATGTGACCCTGTTTGGAAATAGGATCTTTGGAGAAGATCAAATTAAGATGAAATGGTTAAGGTGTGTCCTGATCAAATATTACATGTGTCCTTACAAAATGGGAAAATTGGATACAGAGACAGACACCCACACAGGAAGAATGTCATCTGATGGTAAATGCAGAGATTGGGGTAATGTATCTACAAGCAAAGGGACCCCAAATATAGTCTGCAGATAACAACAACCTAGGAGAGATTCACAGACCTCAGGAAGAATGAAGCCTGCTGAAATCTGATCTCAGACATCTAGCTGCAGAACTGTGAGAGAATAAATTTATGTTAAGCCACCCAGTTTGATGACTTTAATTATGGAAACCCTAGCAAACTAATACAATATTCAGCACATACTATGATGCTTTGAAAAAAATTAATAAGCAAAGTAGATCTCATTGAATGAATATGCAGCAATTTCTAGGATTACTATTAGGTGAAACAAAAAAGACGTAAAGAATATATAGCATGCCATCTTTGTGTAAAACAAACAGGAAATAACAAAATGTGCATGTATTAACTTATCTCTGCAAGGAAAAATATAGGAGTGATAAAACTGAACCTAAAGGGATTAATTACCTACAATGGTAGACTGGATAAGGGAGAAATTAAAGAGAAAAGGATGAATGGAAATCACCTAAGAATTATTCTTGTGTAATTCTGAATTGTGTAATTATGTTAATTTTTTGTTCTAGTGTGGCAGTCAACATGGTTAAAAAAAATCAAGAAGAAATTCGGAAAACTTAATTACATTATTTTGCCCAGGCCACTGCTGTCACAACAAAATACCACAAATAAGGTGGTTTAACCAACAGAACATAATTTATCACATTTCTGGATGGTAGAAATACAAGATAAGTTGTCAGCAGGTTTGGTTTCTCCTGAGGCCTCTCCTCTTAGCTTGCAGATGGTTGTTTTCTTCCTGTGTCTTCATATAGTCTCTTTTTTTTTCTTTAAACACATTCTTTTTTCTATTTTCATTTTTTATTTCAGAATATAATGGGGGTACAAATGCTTCGGTTACATAAATCACCTTTGCACCACCTGACACAAAGCTACAAGCATGACCATCTTCCACACAGCATGCACCATACCCCTTAAGTGTGAATTTACCCATCCCCTCCTCGATCCTCCCACCTGCCTGAAACCCAGTGAATGTTACTTCCATATGTGACCATAAGTGTTGACTGATTAGTACCGATTTAATGGTGAGCCCATGTGGTTTTTGTTTTTCCATTCTTGTGATACTTCACATAGAAGCATGGGATCCAGCTCCATGCAGGATAATACAAAAGGTAATTTATCATTTATTTCTCATGGCTGAGGAGTACTCCATGGTATACATATATGTATCACATTTTATTAATCCACTCAAGGATTGATGGGCACTTGGGTTGTTTTCACAAGTTTGCACCTGTATAGTCTGCAGCTATAAACATTCAAATGCAGATGTCCTTTTTATGCACTGTTATTTTTTTCCTTTGGGTAAATACCCAGTAGTGGAATTGCTGAATCAAAAGATAGTTCTACTTTTAGTTCTTTGAGGTAGGTCCATCTATAATACTTTCCACAGAAGTTGTACTAGTTTCCAGTCCCACCAGCAGTGTATGACTGTTCTTATCCCTCTACATTCATGCCAACATTTATTGTTTTGAGACTTAGTGATAAATGCCATTCTCACTAGAGTTAAGGGATATCTCACTGTGTTTTTTTTTTTCTCTGTTCTTCTCTGGGTCCAAATTTCCTCTCATGATGATAGCAGTCATAATAGATTAAGATCAACAGTATTTTAATTTAGTTACCTTTTTAAAAGCCCCATCTTCAAAGACAATCACATTGTGAGGCACTGAGAGAGCTACAACAAATGAATTTTGGGGAAAGACAATCGATTCCATTACTGGAATACAAACACAAACAAATGGACTAAACTACATTTTAACTGAATAAAAACTCAATACCAGAGTGGTGGTGGGAGGGGATAACTTACCCAAGAAACTTTTGAACCAGTGTTATGACTTGTCAGACATAAGAAAATAAGAACCATAAACAAATACTGAATTACAGTTAGCAGGATTGTTTTTGACAGGGCAGACACAAGGGTTAGAAAAAATCCTTTGTGTATATCATAGAATTGGGCAAATGAGTACATATATTTAGGATATTAGGAGCCAGATTCCCTATTTTGGACAGGAGAATCACACACAGAGGAAGAAAACATGAATGAACTCCAAAGTGGTGGACTAGTATCAGTATGAATAAATGGCTTTTAATATGTAGAAACATATATGTGTGTACACATATATGTCTATATATATTCATGAATGTTTGTACATAGATTTATCCCCTAGGAGGGCCTATAAAGATTATAAATGATACCCTCCTTTCAATTTACACACCTAGCACCCAGATTTGGTTTCAAAAATGCCATTCACCAGTAAAAAAAACAAGGCTCCTTGGAGAAATTGCTGATTTCAGGAATGGGACAGGAAAAGAAAAAAAATGAGCCTAAAACATCTTGACACATTAAAACAATTAAGAAACACTTAGTGGACACATAGGTGCTACAGTAATAGGGTATTGGGCAGGTGGGAGGGGGGAGGGAGGCGGGTATATACATACATAGTGAGTGAGATGTGCACCATCTGGGGGATGGTCATGATGGAGTCTCAGACTTTTGGGGGGAGGGGGGGAAATGGGCATTTATTGAAACCTTAAAATCTGTACCCCCATAATATGCCAAAATAAAAAAAATAATTAAAAAAAAAAAGAAACACTTAAAAAAATACATGTATGTGAAAATTATACCCAAGTCAGGTTGAATAGACTCCAATGGGAAAAGTCTGGGTAATTTCAGCATCAAAATCAATAATGGTAATAACAGATTATAACCCATTAAATATGATTTAATACATGATTTAATACTGATAAGAAAATAAATAAATTAAGTCAAAGTTGAAGCTCTTCTTCATTGGAAAAATAATTATAAATCTAGAAAGAATATACAGTTAAGAAGCCACAATTTTGCAGCCTTCATAGTATTAACTGCTTTATGTAGGAATCATACATGTATGCTATATGTAGTTGTTAAAATTTTGATAACTAAAAGATATAAGTATCTTTAAAATATTTTCCCACAAATTATTATAACACCTGTGAGTATGAACATTTCTCTTAATATCCCTGAGAATGTTTACTCACTCTCAAAGCACTGCAGTTCCCCTAAGACAAAATACAAGCATTTGTATAATGTCTAAAAGTACATGACAAACATTATGTGCTTAGTAAATACTAATATGTTTTCCTTTATTCTAAAAAGGAACACATATCAGCAAACTCAGAGAATTTCAATACCAAAAAAAATGAACTCACCTGTATCAGGCTCATGGCCTTCTCTAGGGGAAGCGTAGACTAGGCAGAGCTGACAGAGATAAAAGAAGATGTGAGTGACAGGCACAACCCAGAGTAGACAATTACAGCTTCAAGAATGAAGTGAACATTTTAATCCACTGAGGCCATTAGTGCACCTGTAACCTCAGCCCTTATTTTCTTCAATACCCACCTTGAAAGTTCTTTTGCTCCTTTTTCCACCCAAACTCTTCTGAAACTTTCACCTGCTGACTCAGGCTTTAGTGTGTAGCTGTCCATTGTCTCCTCTTTATGGTTGTGGGGCGGTCTCTCAAACCATCCTCTTCCTGAGCCAGAAAGTCCAGAAAGAATGCAGACCAGGGAATCTCAGTTTCACTGCTTTGGTAACTCTAAATTCTCCCCTTAATTTGCTGCAAGACGTCTCAGGTCAGAGGAATATCCCTTCAGAATATATCCTTTCTGCTTAGGGTGCTTCTTTCTCTTCCAGTTTCTAGAATATGCACGTTGTCTTACAGCAGAGGCTGTGCACCAAGAGTAAACTCTACCTTGGGGGAGGGAGGATTTACTCTGAGGATGAAAGTCACTCTCTGTTCACTTACTATATTATGACCACTTACTTAAACTACAGAGAAAAGGGTTACTGTTCTGGTGGATATCACTCTTGCAAACTAATGGCCTACCAAGATCTGCTCAGGAATGGAGCAAATGGCCGTGGCAGAAGGGTCCCAACAGGATCAGCCACTGCTAGACCCACAAAGGCACAATAGAAGGGCTAGGAATCACTGCAGGCAATGCCTGAGGTGCACAAGAGACTCACGTATCCAAAGTGGCTGCAAAATGCTGGGCAAGGGACACAAACTTAGCAGACTACACCCTGGCCTTTAGGAGGTCGACTCAGATCACAAGACAGCAACCTTTGCTTCCAGTTGGGGTGCAAAGGTCTTACTTAATAAGATGGGAGGAATGTAACCACTTTCTTTAGCTTCCCCATTAGACTTCTAAAGCCTGTTTAACCATGCAAACTTTGGGTGTCTTCACTACCCAGTAAAAGACCCATTTAGGTAACGGTGCCAATTAGCAGCCACTACCTCACTCCAACCATCAGGGGAAGGATGCGCATGCGCATGCGCATGCGCTCTCGCCTCTAGCAAGGAGTCATCAGCGCCACCCGCGGTGTAAATACTTGCCGTCCCAAACTTTCTGATCTAAACGCCCTACCCCGCCACAAACTTAATTCTACTCCCAGGAACAAATCGCCTGCAAGCTTCACGACCAGGAAGGGCTCCTAGCACAGTGTGGAACAAGTCGCCTTTGGCTTAGGGTTCAGCCGACTTCGCAGAACTCTGCCATGGCGAACGGAAACGGAATGGCCAGGGTGGACTTGTTATGGACTACAGTTCCCACAATGCTCCGGGTGTACTTCCGCTTACACGCGGTGTCTGGGCTCCAGCGTTCAGGGCTGCAGGCAGCCTCGCTGTGACATTCGGGTTATCTCTGCACCACGCTATGGTTTTGCCTTTTAACTCCTCAAATTCCCTTGTTTGTACTGTGCCATCATCTGAAGGGGAAAACTGCTTTTTCTTGCTCCTTAAATGTGCACTGAAGCACTTCTCAGCATCTAGTGAGATTGAGTGTTCATTCATATACTTATTGCTTACGTGTATATTTTTCGCATAGCATTGCCTTGTGTTTCTATCGGGCTTTTGCTTCCTGTATTTAAGTATAGACTTTTTATACTCAAATTTGTTCATTTTGTTTTCTTTAATATGGCTTAATACCAAAGAAATCGCATAATTTTAACTAATTAAAATGGCAAATATTGATTTTGTTGTCGCTGTTAGTGTGAGATTCCTCTTTTATTTACCTATTACCAAGTGTGTTTAAACATTTTCTTATTATTCCTGTGGGATTTTTTACATAGTATATACTGCTAATATTCAGTTGTAGAAAAATAGAAACTTCTTAAAGAAGTTAAAATCTGAGGATCCTAAAATCTACATTGTCTAGATGTCTGCAGATTATAGAGATCTCTGTGGGATTCCCTGCTATGAAACTGTGGAAGCAAAGAACAATAATTTCAAAGTTCTTGCATGTATTAGGCAAAAGGCTCTTCTGTCAAAGTCTAGTGATTACATCTACCCATACCTCTCTATTTTGTGAAATGTTTGTTTTCCTCTTTCTGAAACCAATCAACAGTTGCCAAGATAGTAAGAATATCAGATAATTATTTTCAGAGAAATTATGAACCTATACACGTAAACACAATAACTGAAGCTGCTTTTACCAAGAAGATATTTGTCCATCCTGAGGCAGTGGAGATATAATTCAAAATCCAGGGACCACAGAGATTTGAAGTCTAAGAGAATTCCTGTCATAATGAAGTTACAAAAGTCTAAAAACCACATGAGGTATAGAAGACCAGGTTGGAAGGTATTTTCTTTTCCTCTATGCATAATATTTTCTTTCCGGGATTGCTTTGTTGTTACTGACAAGCAGCTGTCAATCTATCCGCTACTCATTTGATCACAACATTTATTTTAACATTTTGTTCTTTGTCTTTAGTTTTCTCATGTAACACCAGCAAGGGCCAAGTGTTGATTTACTTTTTAAAATTTTCTTGAGTTTCTTAGGTTTCTTGAGTCTGTAGATTTAGGTATTTTCTTAGTTCTCAAATGTTCTGAATAAATATCAATGGGAACATTGCACTCCATCCTCCATGTCTCTTAGAATTACTTTCTCTATTTTTTCACCCATTTCTTCCTTAAATAGTATTTGGATAATTTCCCATGATCTATATTAAAACACTATTTTTGTTGTGCTGTGTCCAAACATCAGCCAGACTCATCCACTAAGTTTTAATTTTGGTGATTGATTGTTCTTTGTAGAAGCTATATTAATTTCCCTCTTCAGTATTCTATTACTTTATTTAGGTTTGTGTTGCTTAGATTTAGTCCAGCATTTTGTTTTTTTTTTTTTTAATTCTTTGACCATAGTTTCGTTATCTGAAAGAGGAATGGAGGATTGATAATTACCTAAGAATTATTTTTGTGTAATTCTGAATTATGTGGAATTATGCCAATATCTCACCCAATTAACACATTAACTGTCATATAAGTTGTTATTGAACCCATTCTAGTTTTGAGCTCCAGGCCTCATGAAGCATATGACACATCCATTGTCAGAAACAAATTCAGAGGAGATGGCATGTGATGAGCCACATACAACTTATGTGGTAGCAGTGTAAAAATTGATTCTACTGCCCAGTGATTGCATAAAACTCACACATAGAAAGCAATAAAATATCAACTTTTCATTAGAATGGATCATTTTGTTTTAATAGTTTTATTCTATTTCTTCATAAAACACCATGCCCTTGGATTTTTTTTTCTAATGTGGCAGTCAATGTGTTAAACATAAAAATCAGGAGAAAAAGGAGGGAACTTTGCTGTATTTGTTTGCCCAGGCACTGCTGCCAAACAAGAATCCCAACTGGGTGACATAACCTACACGAAAATGTATTCCTTCACAGTTCCGGATGCTAGCTAAAGTACAAGATAAGGTGTTGGCAGAAGGCAAGTTTTTCTGAAGCCTCTCTCCTTGGCTTGCAGATGGTTGTTTTCTCTCTCTTATGTCTTCATATTTTATTTTCTTTGTCTCATGTCTGTGTCCAATTTTGTCCTATAAGTACCCAGTCATACTAGATTAGGGCCCACTGTGTTTTCATTTGTACACCTTTCTAAAAGCCCCATCTCCAAAGACAATCACATTCTGAGGTACTGAGAATTAGGCCTACAACCTATGAATTTTCCCAAAAATACAATCCATTCCATAACTGGAATGCCAACCAAACAAATGAACTAAACTATATTTCAAATGAATAACAAACTCATACCAAAGGCATAAAAAGGAACTTATCCAAGTAAAATTTGATCCAGTGTTTTGATTGGTTCAGACATAATAAAATAAGAACCATAAACAAATACTGAATTACATTTTGTAGGTTTGTTTTTCACAGGATATACACAGGATTAGAAAAACTCTTTTCTGTGTATTACAGCACTGGGCAAATAAGCATATATATGTAGGATCTTAGGAGCCAAATTTCCTATGTTGCAGAAGGGGAGTCATAAAGAAAGTGAGGAAGAAGAGATCAATGAACTCTAGTATAGTGTACTATTTTTCAGTATGAATTAGTGGTTCTTAATATATAGACCAACATAGATATATGAATATATACATGTGTATATACGTTCATGCATGTTTGTACATAGATTTATCCACTGGGTGGGCCTATAAAATGACAAATGATACCCTCCTTTCCATTTACACACCTAGCACCCAGATTTGGTTTCAAAAATTCCATTCTCCATTAAAAGAATCCAAGGATCTTTGGAAAAATCGCTGATTTCAGGACAGGGACAGCAAAAGAACAAAATGGACCTAAAATATACTGGTGTATTAAAAATATAAGGAAATACTAAAAAAAAAAAAATAGGTATATGTTGAAATAACACACAAGTCAGTTTGAATGGATTCCCATGGGACCTGTCTGGGTAATTTCAACATCAAAATCAATAATGATAATAACAGATAATAACCAATTGAAAAAAATAAAATTTTATAATTTAATACTGATAGAAAAATAAGTAAACACAGTCTAAGTTGAAGCTCTTCTTCACTGGAAAAATAATTATAAATCTAGAAACAATAATACAGTTAAGAATTCACAATTTTGCAGCCTCATAGTAGTAACTGCTTTATGTAGGAATCATACATGCATGCTATGAGTAGTGGTGAACATTTTGATAACCAAAAGATATAAGTATCCTTAAAATATATTTCTCACAAATTAATTATTATAACACCTATGACTATGAATATTTCTCTTAATATCTCTGAGAGATTTTATTCATTCTCAAAGCACTGCAGTTCCCCTAAGACAAAATGCAAGAATTGGTATATTGTCAAAGAATACATGACAAACATTACGTGCTTAGTAAATACTAATCTGTTTTCCTTTATTCTAAAAATGAGCACATATCAGCCAACTCTGAGAATTTGAGGAGCAAGAAAAATGAACTCACCTGTAAGTGGAAATGTAGACAAGTCCGAGTTGACAGAGAAAAGAACAGGCCCAACCCAGTGTAGACAATTACAGCTTCAAGAATGAAGTGAACATTTTCATCCACTGAAGCCATTAGTGCACCTGTAACCTCAGCCCTCATTTTCTTCAATACCCACCTTGAAAGTTCTTTTGCTCCTTTTCCCACCCAAACTCTTCTGAAACTTTCACCTCCTGACTCAGGCTTTAGTGTGTAGCTGTCCATTGTCTTTCTCGTTATGGAGGTGGGGCGGTCTCTCAAACCATCCTCTTCCTGAGCCAGAAAGTCCAGAAAGAATGCAGACCAGGGAATCTCAGTCTGGCTGCTTTGGTAACTCTAAATTCTCCCTTTAATTTGCTGCCAGACATCTCAGGTCAGAGGAATATCCCTTTAGAACCTATTCTTTCTGATTAGGGTGCTTCTTTCTCTTTCAGTTTCTAGAATGTGCACTTTGAATTGCAGTAGGGGCTGTGCACCAAGAGTAAACTCTACCTTGAGGGAGGGAGGATTTACTCTGAGGACCAAAAATCAATCTCTGATCACTTGCCATATGATGAGCACTTACTTAGTCTACAGGAAAAAGGGTGACTGCACTGGTGGATCTCACTCTTGCAAACTAATGGCCTACCAAGATCTGCTCAGGAATAGAGCAAATGGCCGTGGCAGAAGGGTCCCAAAAGGATCTGCCCACTGCTAGACCCACAGAGGCACAATAGAAGGGCTAGGAATCACTGCAGTCAATGCCTGAGGTGCACAAGAGACTCACGTATCCAAAGTGGCTGGAAAATGCTGGGCAAGGGACACAAACTTAGTAGACTTCATCCTGGCCTTTAGGAGTTCAAGACACAGATCTGGAAACTTTGCTTCAGGTTGGGGTGCAAAGCTCTTGCTTAACACGATGGTTGGAACTTAAACACTTAGTTTAGCCTCCCCATAAGACTTCTACAGCCTGTTTAACCATGCAAACATTCCATGTTTTCACTATCTAGGGAGGGTCCCCTTTTCATGAGGTTATGGAAAAGCAGCTATTACCTGACTCCGACTTGTCCTGAGGAGCATGCGCATGCGCATGCGCTCTCTTCTCTACGCAGGGGACAAGAACATCTAAAAGCCAAGGGCGCTTGTGAATACTTGCCGGCGCAGACCTTCTGATCTAAACCCCCCACCCTGCCACAATCTTAATTCCACTCCCGGGCACAAATCGCCTGAAAGTTGCACGATTGGGAACTACTCTGAGCACAGTGTGGAACAAGTCGCCTTTGGCTTAGGGTTCAGCCGACTTCGCAGAACTCTGCCATGGCGAACGGAAACGGAATGGCCAGGGTGGACTTGTTATGGACTACAGTTCCCCAATGCTCCGGTGTCCATGCTCCGCTTACCGCGGTGTCTGGGCTCCAGCGTCAGGGTCAGCGCCTCGCTGTGACGATTCGGGTATATTCGCCCCGACCTGATCGGTTATGCCTTTCTAACTCCTCAATTCCCGTTGGCCCTGCTTCGCTGCCTCACTCTGCAAAGCGACAGCTGCTTTCTTCCGTTGCTCCTTAACCTGCCTGCACTGACACTTTCAGCATCTAGTGAGCCTTCGCCTGTGTCGCCCCTCATAGCAACTTCTGTGCTTTACGTGTACCTCTTTTCCTCATAGCATTCGCCCTGGCTCGTTTCTATCCGGAGCTTTTTGCTTCCTGTATTATACAGTTGACTTGCTTTCAGCTCAAATTGTTCTGTTGTTTTCTTTATTGGCTTTAATACCAAAGAAATCGCGATAATTTCAACCTATTAGAAATGGCAATATTGTTGGTTGCTCCTGTTAGTGTGAGCATTCCCTCTTTTATTTACTACCTTAGATCGTGTCTTTAGACTTTTCTTATTATTCTGCTGGCGATTTTTTACATACCGTATACCGTATGGTATATTCAGTCTCTTGTAGAGAAGAATAGACTTCTTAAGAAGTTAAAATCCGACGATCTAAATCTCACTTTGTCTAATGCCTCTCGATCTATAGATCTCTGTGGATCGCTATGCACCTGTGGGAAGCAAGAACATATTTCAAAGTTCTTGCATGTTTCCACGGCCCAAGAGGTCTTCCTTCACAGTCTAGTGATTACATCTACCTAACATCGTCTATTTTCGTGACGTGTTTTGTTTGCCTCCTTCTGACCATCAACCGTTGCCAAGAAGTACCCATCACATCCGATAAGTTATTTTACGAATATGACTACCCTACCGCGTAACACAATAAACTGGAAGCGCTTTTACCAGAGATATCTGTCCATCCTGGAGCGGGAGTGGAGATATAACATTCAAAGTTCCAGCCGGCCACAGAGTATTGAAGTCTAAGCAGATTCCTGTCAATGAAGTTACACACAGTCTAAACACACAGTGAGGTAGTCACGAAACCCAGCGTTGGCACAGGTACCTTCTTTTTCCTCTACGTGCATCAATTCTTCTCGGATGTCGCCTTTGTTTTACCTGACAGCCAGCCGTCGAATCTTATCCGCTTACTCATTTGATCACAAAATTTATTTAACTTGTTCTTTGGTCTTTAGTTTTTCATGTACACAGCAAGGGCAAGTGTTGATTTACTTTTGTAAAAAATTCTTCCGGAGTTTTCTTTAGGTTCTTGAGTCTGTAGATTTACAGTACTTTTACTGTATCTCAAGATCTTCTGAATACAATATCAATGGGAACACCGTTGCCTCCTCCTCGCCTCGGTCTCTTAGATCCGTACTCTCTGCTCTACTGTTCTTCACCTCTTCGTTCCTTAAGCTCGCACCTTTGGATAACCCTTTCGATCTATATGCACAAACTATTTTCTCGCTTGTGCTCTGTCAGACCTCAGCAGACTCTCACTGCCGCCCGCTAGAGTTTCAATCTTTGCTAATATATTGTCTTCGCTCGAGTGTAGAACTTACTTATTTCTTCTTTCAGGTATTTATTATTTGATTTAAGTTCCTCTTTGTATGCACTTACTCAGATTGTTGTTCTTTCTTTTTTTAAATATCTTTGCACTTGAGTTTCCGTTATGACGCGGAATGGACGATTGATATCTACGCTAAGAAGTCTTTTGTGCTGTCAATTCTGATTAATGTTGGAATTTGCAATATTCACGAATTAAGGACGTTAACTGTCTGCATACAGTCGCTGGACTTCCGACCTTCTATTTTGAAGCTCCAGGCCCTCATGAGCTGGACGAACGCTCGATTGTCGAACCCAAATTACGAGGCTGTATCGAGCGCCATACAACTTATGTTAATGCAGTGTCAATTGATTCTAGTCTCGCCCGACGTGATTCGCTAAAACTCACATAGAAACGAAGAACAACCTATCAACTGTTCTTGAATCGGCATCATTTGTCTTAATAGTTCTAGTTCCTATTGGCTCTCTCTCTAACCCACGGCCCGTCGGCCCCTTCGCTCTTTTTCTTCTCAAGTGCTCGGCCACGTCACGCTGCCTCTACCATACACCCCCAGCGAACAAAGGACGGGCAAACCTCGTATTCCTTGCCTGTTGCCCAGCGCCCTCGCTGCCTCACACAGAGTCACCACAACCTGCGTGACATACCCCTAGCAGAATCGTACTTCTCCACGAGATTCCGCGCACTGCTAGAGTACCACGATACCCACGGTGTTCGCCAAAGCAAGTTCTCTTCTGAAGCTCCTCCCCTCCTTGGCTTGCACAGATGGTTCAGTCTTTTCCCGCTCCCTCTATCGTCCTTCATCATACCCTCTGATCTTCTCTCGCTCATAGCTCTGTGCAGGATTCCCTCTGTCCTATAGAGTACAGTCATACTAGCTCTCAGGCTCCTACCCTGTTCTTCTTAATTTTGTTCACCTTCAAAGCCCCATCTCCAAAGACAATCACATTCTGAGGTACTGAGAATTAGGCCTACAACCTATGAATTTTCCCAAAAATACAATCCATTCCATAACTTGAATGCATACCAAACAATTGAACCAAACTCTATTTGAAATGAATAACAAACCCATACCAAAGGCATAAAAAGGAACTTATCCAAGTAAAATTCGATCCAGTGTTTTGACTGGTTCAGACAAAAGAAAATAAGAAACATAAACAAATATTGATTTATAGTTAGTTGGTTTCCTTTTGACAGGACAAACACAAGGGTTAGAAAAGCATCTTTCTGTGAATTATGCCATTGGGCAAATGAATACATGTATTTAGGATATTGGGGGGCAGATTTCCCATTTTTGAGAAGAGGAGTCACAAAGACAATGTGGAAGAAAACAGGATTAAACTTCCTGGTATTTGACTAGTATGAATTACTGGTTTTTAATATGTAGACAGGTATAGTTATGTATATACATATATGTCTATATATGTTCATGCATATTTGTACATACAGAGTTATCCTCTGGGAGTGGCTATAAACAATAATAAATGATACCCTAGTTTCAATATGTACACCTGGCACCAATATTTGTTTTCAACAGTTCTATTCTCCATAAAAGGAACCAAAGCTTTTTGGAAAAATGGCTGATTTCAGGTTTGGGACAGGAAAAGCACAAAATGAGCCCAAAACATCTTGTTATAATAATAAAAAAAAACATAAGGAAACAGTTTAAAAAAGATAGTTATATGCCAAAGGGATACCGAAGTCAGTTTGCGTGGTCTCCCTTGGAACAAGTCTGGGTAATTCCATTGTTAAAACAAATAATGATAATAACAGATTATAACCAATTGAATAAAGATTCATGTTTTTCTACTGATAAAAAAATAAATGAAGTGAAAGTGAAAGCTCTTCCTCAGAGAAGATACAATTATAAATCTAGGAAGAATAAGATACTTAAAAATCCACCATCTTGCAGCCTTCATCAGCTACAAGCATCCACATTTGAAGGTCAGGCTATGTCACAGCATGACTGGGGCCATATTACCTTGAGCAACACCAGAGGTCTTAGTGCACCCTCCTTATTAGTTTGAAATTGTGGCTGTCCTTGCATTAGAGCCTTTCTTAAGTGTTTAAATTTGGATTCCGGTTGTCCTGAAATTAAAATTAAATTGTTTGGCACTCCATATCCCTTAATTGCCAATATAAGGGGTGACTAGGTGCTCTAAGGGTGGTAATGGGATGCACAGTAGTCAAGATAATTGTGATGGTGGCATTGGGGTGGTGTGCCCAGGCCCCCTATAAGAGACAAATCACCCTGGTATCATAATATTTGTTATCCAGGAATTATGCCTCTCTGATGGCCAGCCAGCAAATCCATATTCCTCTAAAGCATCTTGAGTAGCCTGAATCGTGCCCACCAAATTGAGGATTGCTCATGGTAGTTGGGGGGTTCCCCCTCTAAAATATAAATTTCTTTACTGAGGGTCAAAAGGGGCCTCCTCTTGGCTGAAGATAAATTCAATATAATCATTATTTGGGATAATCACAGAAATTATATACCTACTGAGACACATCAATGTTATGTAAAAAGGCACAAACATCCTCAATGATTTTCCATTGCCACTGAGCTTCAGCAGTAATCACTGCTATAGCGGGATGAGCCTTCTTCAAGGCCCTGAAAACCCAAGTAAGTAAGGATAATGATTTTTCTTCTTATTCAGTCCACTAGGCTGAGGGTATATCCTCATCATGTGAGCATAATATAACCCTCTCTTCTACTTTGTAAGTTTGTCTATATTTAGTTCAAGCCCTCAGAGTGTATGGCTGAGGGTTATGATGACCATATTAAGAATTAGGCCCATAACTTCTGGCAGTCCTTTAATATATTATAGATTTTCAGGAATTGGTTATGCCTCCTAATTGTCTCTTCTCGGTGTTCATTAGTAGTAACTCTGACCCAGTATTAAACACATATAGCAACCAGTATTCCCCCTTCTTTGTGGTGATTTTCCTCTAATTTGGCCCTGAGGTCTGTCTCTGGAGAGTGGCTATAAACTTTTGCCCTTTCCTGACAGGTAGCCAGGGGAAGTGGTTGTGGATGTTTACAGTGTGCTTTACATAGGATACTTATTTATCCTGGTTGATGGCCTATTGCCTTAGTGTCTGACCAGTAACCAGGTGGTCCTCTCACAGGGAACATGTTTACATTGGTAGAAACCCTTGTGGCTCTTGTCTGACCTGTGTCCACTTCATTCCTACCAAGATAGCCACTCTCTAGAAGAGCCCTGACTAGAAAGAGAGTTAGGTTCTGGGGTGTCAGTCAGGTGAGAGACAGAGGAGGCAGCACAACAAAACACACTAAATAAGAGAATCTGTTTTTATCACTTACAATCATACTGAGAAGAGAGCAGCATGCCAGGCATGGCCAAGGGGAAGGAGGAGCCGTCTGGGATACATACACTCAACCAGTGTGGGGACAGCAAGCAAGGGT